CTCCCTCCCCCCCCTTCCCCTCTACCCCTCTCCCCTCTCCCCCCTCTCCTCTATACCCTCTCCTCTCCCCTCCCCCTCCTCTACCCCTCCCTACCTCTACCCCCCTCTACCCCCCTCCTCTACCCTCCCTCAAACCCTCTCCCCTCCCCCCTCCCCACCCCAACCCTCCCTCCCTCCCCCCCCTCTACCCTCAAACCCCCCCTCTACCCCTCCCCCCTTTTTCCCCCTCTCCCCTCCCCTCCCTCTCCCCAAACCCTCTACCCCCTCCCTCTACCCCTCTCCCTCCCCCCCCTCCCCCCCCTCCCCTCCTCTCCCCTCCCCCCTCTACCCTCAAACCCCCCCATCCCCCCCCTTTTCCCCCTCCCCCTCTCCTCTACCCTCTACCCTCTACCCTCTGCCCTCTCCTCTACCCTCTACCTTTGTGTGTGTGTGTGTGTGTGTGTGTGTGTGTGTGTGTGTGTGTGCGCGTGTGTGTGTGTTAAGGGTGTCGTCGATTGACTCAAGCACAATAACAGCATTACCGGTCCTTTTGTGAGACTGTCACTCTGTTTAGTGGCACCTTTAGTGTGACTCCCCATCAAACACACAAACACACACACACACGGATGAATGAACCAACGTCATCTGGCCCTGACTGGACTACACACTATCAGGGCTGTGTTTGTGTGTGTTATGCAACATTAAAGTGTCACTATATTGGTGCCAAGGCTCCTTACACAAATGGGCCCCTTCCTTTAACAAGGCATAGAGGGGAAGATTGGCAACTCCATTCTCAATGGAACACACATAACCGGTACACAAACACACACACGCACACGCACACGCACACACGCACACACACACACACACACACACGCACACACACGCACACACAGTATGAGGCGTCCTCCCATTCAGTGCCATCCATAGTGTGTATGTCAACAGGGAAAGGGTCTAGGCGTGAACCTCTAGTACTCTTCCATACCCTATTTATTTCTCTCTGCTTCACTCTCATTTCCACTCTCTCTCTCTCTCTATTTCTCTCCATCTCTCCTCTCCACATTGATCCCTTTCCAAATTCACTCTCTTCTTCCTCTCTCTCTCTCTCTCTCTCCCATACCCTTCTCTGTCACTCTTCTCTCTTGGTCTGGACTCTGCCTACTACAGACAGAGAAACAGAAGCAGTGCATTACATGCTGACAGGTAAACTTTACCATAATGTGACCATCACTTTACCATCACTTTACCATCACCCCACCATCACATTACCATCACTTTACCATCTCTTTACCATCACTTTACCATTACTTAACCATCACTTTACCACTCTAGCAGGTAAACTTATCAACTTTACCATCACTTTACCATTACTTAACCATCACTTTACCACTCTAGCAGGTAAACTTATCAACTTTACCATCACTTTACCATCACTTTCCACGCTAGTAGGTAAACATATCAACTTAACATAACTTTCCCAACTTAACATTCAGTTTACCATTACTTTACCATCATCATCATTGGCGATCACTCTAGTCCAGTATGATTGTCCTCCATGTGGTCTTCTATTTGTGGGTCTTCAGATGGCTGTAGAGACGATCCAGGTGGGTCTTCAGATAGCTGTAGGGGCTGATCCAGGTGGGTCTTCAGATGGCTGTAGAGACGATCCAGGTGGGTCTTCAGATGGCTGTAGGGGCTGATCCAGGTGGGTCTTCAGATGGCTGTAGGGGCTGATCCAGGTGGGTCTTCAGATGGCTGTAGAGGCCGATCCAGGTGGGTCTTCAGATGGCTGTAGGGGCTGATCCAGGTGGGTCTTCAGATGGCTGTAGGGGCTGATCCAGGTGGGTCTTCAGATGGCTGTAGAGACGATCCAGGTGGGTCTTCAGATGGCTGTAGGGGCTGATCCAGGTGGGTCTTCAGATGGCTGTAGAGGCCGATCCAGGTGGGTCTTCAGATGGCTGTAGGGGCTGATCCAGGTGGGTCTTCAGATGGCTGTAGGGGCTGATCCAGGTGGGTCTTCAGATGGCTGTAGGGGCTGATCCAGGTGGGTCTTCAGATGGCTGTAGGGGCTGATCCAGGTGGGTCTTCAGATGGCTGTAGGGGCTGATCCAGGTGGGTCTTCAGATGGCTGTAGAGGCCGATCCAGGTGGGTCTTCAGATGGCTGTAGGGGCTGATCCAGGTTGGTCTTCAGATGGCTGTAGAGGCGATCCAGGTGGGTCTTCAGATAGCTGTAGAGGCCGATCCAGGTGGGTCTTCAGATGGCTGTAGGGGCTGATCCAGGTGGGTCTTCAGATGGCTGTAGAGGCCGATCCAGGTGGGTCTTCAGATGGCTATCGAGGCCGATCCAGGAGACACATATTTTGGTGCAGGGTTGGCAGGGGTGAGTGGTGGTTACGCCTTCCTGGTGTTGAGTCTCTCCTTGCGTAGCTGCCCCTTGACCTCTGCAGCACGGTGGACATCTATTTGGTGTAGTGCAGCCCCCTCTTGGATGTTTTTTCTCCAGTTGTCTGTTAAGTGCAGTGTCCTCCCAGTTGTGTGGGTTTAGTGCAGTGTCCTCCCAGTTGTGTGGGTTTAGTGCAGTGTCCTCCCAGTTGTGTGGGTTTAGTGCAGTGTCCTCCCAGTTGTGTGAGTTTAGTGCAGTGTCCTCCCAGTTGTGTGGGTTTAGTGCAGTGTCCTCCCAGTTGTGTGGGTTTAGTGCAGTGTCCTCCCAGTTGTGTGGGTTTAGTGCAGTGTCCTCCCAGTTGTGTGGGTTTAGTGCAGTGTCCTCCCAGTTGTGTGGGTTTAGTGCAGTGTCCTCCCAGTTGTGCGGGTTTAGTGCAGTGTCCTCCCAGTTGTGTGGGTTTAGTGCAGTGTCCTCCCCAGTTGTGTGGGGTTTAGTGCGGTGTCCTCCCAGTTGTGTGGGTTTAGTGCGGTGTCCTCCCAGTTGTGTGGGTTTAGTGCAGTGTCCTCCCAGTTTGTGTGGGTTTAGTGCAGTGTCCTCCCAGTTGTCTGTTTAGTGCAGTGTCCTCCCAGTTGTGTGGGTTTAGTGCAGTGTCCTCCCAGTTGTGTGGGTTTAGTGCAGTGTCCTCCCAGTTGTGTGGGTTTAGTGCAGTGTCCTCCCAGTTGTGTGAGTTTAGTGCAGTGTCCTCCCAGTTGTGTGGGTTTAGTGCAGTGTCCTCCCAGTTGTGTGGGTTTAGTGTAGTGTCCTCCCAGTTGTGTGGGTTTAGTGCAGTGTCCTCCCAGTTGTGTGGGTTTAGTGCAGTGTCCTCCCAGTTGTGTGGGTTTAGTGCAGTGTCCTCCCAGTTGTGTGGGTTTAGTGCAGTGTCCTCCCAGTTGTGTGGGTTTAGTGCAGTGTCCTCCCAGTTGTGTGGGTTTAGTGCAGTGTCCTCCCAGTTGTGTCGGTTTAGTCCTCCCAGTTGTTGGAGGTGATGTGACATTTCGTATGTTTTTTATTTTATTTTTATTATTTTACTGTCTTTGCAGCTTCTATTTTGCCCGCCTGGGAATACATGACCCATTTCGGGAAGTGTGAGTTGGGCATCCGGATGACATGGCCTGTCCATCAGAGTTGGTGTTGTGTTATAGTACTGGTGATGCTGTTTCCAGTATGTGCTGGTACTGAGTTAGCCAGGTTCCAGTATTTTTGGGCTGGTTGCATCAGAGCTGTAGAGCAGGTCACCCTTCCAGCATTGGAGAACATGCTGCTCCCTGCGCGCCACGTCTATTTCTATGGGTAGACGCACTGTTCATGACACAAACTGTTCACGCCCCTCTTGTTGGCAGAGAGAACATTTTACAGGTTTAAGGTTTGGGATAGGGTTAAACTTATGTTTAGGCATTAATTCCGAATGGTTAAGTTTAGGGTTAAGGTTAGGGATAGGGTTAAACTTATGTTTAGGCATTAATTCCGAATGGTTAAGTTTAGGGTTAAGGTTTGGGATAGGGTTAAACTTATGTTTAGGCGTTAATTCCGAATGGTTAAGTTTAGGGTTAAGGTTTGGGATAGGGTGAAACTTAAGTTTAGGCATTAATTCCGAATGGTTAAGTTTAGGGTTAAGGTTTGGGATAGGGTGAAACTTAAGTTTAGGCATTAATTCCGAATGGTTAAGTTTAGGGTTAAGGTTTGGGATAGGGTGAAACTTAAGTTTAGGCATTAATTCCGAATGGTTAAGTTTAGGGTTAAGGTTTGGGATAGGGTTAAAACTAAAAAATGAAAAACAAGTGTCTAGCACTGGGATTGAACATGAGATCTTTAGAGCTGGCGGCTGCCATATCTTAGCAGTCGGTCAAAATCCTCAAAAGTTAAACTAAAACTTAAAGGATTACTTCCCGATGTTGTCAATGATACCCTTTATCTACTCCCCCAGAGTCAGATGAACTCGTGGACACCAGTTTTAGGTCTCTGTGTCCAGTGTGAAGGAAGCTAGAGGTCGTTTCGCCGAGCTAATGCTAACTAGCGTTACCGCAATGCCATAGACTTCCAGTCATTGCGCTAATACCCATAGACTTCCAGTCATTGCGCTAATACCCATAGACTTCCAGTCATTGCGCTAACGCTATTTTTTTTATTAACTCAGTCTGGGTTTCATCTTAATCTTGAAAGTTGTAATAGTAGAATGCTTAAGGTGCCATTTCTAAATTGGGTGGTGCATCAGCAGTTCTCCTCTTGTCATGCAGACCTTACATAGTTCATCGGAACCTTAGTCATTCGGAATTAATGAATAAACTTAAGTTTTAGTTTAATTTTTGCAGAGTTTGACCTGTCTGCTAAGATATGGCACCGCATGGCATAATAAAACATGTCAAGTCATGTAGTTAAGCATTGGGTTGTGCTGTACACAATATCAGGAAGTAGCCTTAGGCCACTAGCATGGTGGTGGTAAACGGTGTTTCATAAAGAAAGGATGTCCATCTTCTCGCCATTAAATCGAGTTAAGGAGTAAAGCGACGCCTTTGTCGCCTGAATGGAGAATGTTTTATGTACGAACCGATCCACAGGGGATACCGGCTGCACAGGCCTACATTCCCTATGGATGGTAAGCAGAAACGACTCAATATCGCCATCTGCCGGGCTTTTGGGCTACCGTGACCCGGTTTTAACACCGTTTTTTTACTCATATTAAATCATGTTGAGCTGATAAGAGGTGTTATATATGCTGTCGAGGCTCTGAGAAGTTTCCTTCTTTCCCACCTCTACTTGTTGAATCAGTCCTTCGCTCTGGTCTGCTCTGGGGGAAATAGGCAACATGATAAGATGAGGACCACCACTGAACTAAAAGGTTGGTGTCGAAAAGGAAAAGTGATTTGATTGATTGCATTGGGCTATTGATAAGGTCTATCGATGGTTCCTAATAGCGTAATTTACTTTTTCCATGGAATGTTTCTGCTAACATCTGGGATAGTGTTCCTGTCGCAATGAGCTCTCTAGCCTATATCTCTGGCCTGGATTCAGTATTGTCTTATTAACTTGGTATTAACATGAACATCGATTGACTGGGGATCAATAGAATACTTCTGACCGAGAATCTATTGTAAAAAGCTGCGTGTTGCACGTGAGAATCTGTTAGCCAACGGTAGCAGGATTTCAATTCCAGCTGAGCGATATTGTCTCTTCAGTGTCACTCGAAATGACTGTTTATAGCTTTAATCTGAAGGATAAACTTTCTGTGGCTCTGCCCTGACCTAGGAATGAATGCATGACCTAGGAATGAATGCATGACCGAGAAAGTAAATGATTTAGGCGAGAATCAGGTGAGGTCGTTATGTAACCTTCCCAAACCGAGACAGACAGCCAGTGTTCGAAATATTCCATTATGTAAATGTACTTTTTAATTGTGCATAGCACACTCTCTCGCCTCAAAACAAAGAACGTTTCATACATTTCATTAGTTAGTTGTTATATCATCAAAAGGTTGGTGTTTGGTGCTTGAGGCCAGGTTCGTTGTGCTGAAGACCCAGAACAATCAATGTCCTATTTCTTTGACCCCCCCAACGTTTTTTTTTTTCTCCTTCTTTGCCCTTTCCCGTTGGGTTCGTGAGCTGAATGTAGGAGAGGACTAGGAGAGCTACCCTTCATCTTGTACTTTTCCAGCGGCTTTTCCTGGCGTCAAACCCCCCCCCCCCTCCCCCAACCACCTCCGCTGGCGCGGCTCCTCCCGAGTCTTTTGTAGGCTATATCAGGATACATGCGTCACCAAGAGCCACTTTCATCGACAACTTTAATTATGAATTGTCAAGAGAGTGAAGTTGAAATGGACTGAAGGGCTATCACTTATTTTTTCTCACTGATACATGCGGAAGCTCCACGGTATAGGCTACAGGCTCCTTACTGGTCATTCTGTCTCTTGTGGTTCCCTGTGTGTGTCCCAGAGACAGTTAAATTATTCAGACTTTACACAGAGGTAAGTCTGTGATGTTAATATGTGTGCTATCGACTTTAATTTCTTTAATAATAATAATATGCCATTTAGCAGACGCTTTTATCCAAAGCGACTTACAGTCATGCGTGCATAAATTTTTGTGTATGGGTGGTCCCGGGGATCGAACCCACTACCTTGGCGTTACAAGCGCCGTGCTCTACCAGCTGAGCTACAGAGGACCACACTCTTACCATACCAGGTTACTGCAGGTTATGTTATCGTGGTGTAAGGATATTCTAATTTTTCAGAAAGGTAAAATACAGTTAGTTGTAGCTGGCAGCGCATTTGGAAGGAATTAGAGTAGATCTACTTGGTTTTATATTAACCCTAAATACACGTTGCTATTTTAACCCTAAATACATTGTTTGCTCTCTGTCTACAAGGACCATTGAAATATCTGAACTGTTGCACAGCTGATGCCTGTGCTTTGGAAAATTCCTGCAACTCTTGTTTGCAAGTTGCACAATAGTACACAGTTCTTTCAGCTGGCAATGGACGTAGGAGTTTTTTCCCCATTGTTTTTACGCTGTACTCTGACGCATTTATGCCGACCTTGGGGCGCCGAAGGCTACTGTAGATACTGAAAGTCCGTTTGAGGGCAAACGCCTCATAACTGAACCGCGGTCTTGTTAACAAACGTCACCGTCTACCGCGCGAAATGCATGTTAATGCCGCATTCATGTGCAAGTCGGAACTAGGAAACTCTGAGATTTCAGACTTGCTAACTGGTTGTAGCTATACAGGTAACAAGTTCAACGAATCAGCAAGTATGACATTTTAGAGTTTTCTAGTTCCGACTAGCATGTAAACACCGCACTACACTCGAACGGGCTCAACGTCATGACACGCCCTGGAGGCGTCCCTCCCTCCCTCCTTCCTTTCCTCCCCTCCTATAGAAGTAGTCCAACACAAAGCCCCAAACTACAGTTGCGCTCTGAACTACAGCAGAGCAGGAGTTTACCTCAGGGATTTTAACAGCCAGATTATAGCCTGCAACCATGACAATAATAAGGGCGAGAGACTGGCCTGTGTTGATGACCGATTCCAAAACAGGAGGGGATAGGAGCTGTCTCAATGGTAGGGTTAACAGAGAAGAGGAGAGAGAGAAGAGGAGAGGACAGAGAGGGAGGAGGAGGAAGAAAGAGGAGGCGGGGGGGAGGAGGAGAGAATAGATTTTTTACTGTGGGGGGTTGGGGTTTTTCCATCTTCTTTCAGTTTTTCCTCTCCTCTTCCTTTTGTGTTCTTCTTGCCAGCTTTTAGTATGAAACAGAGAAAGAAAAGAAATGGGGTACTGAATGGGGACTGTATGTCAGAGGTTGGCCACCTTTGGCCAACTAGCAACTTACACCTTGTGCAAACAGTTGCGAGGTGTTGAGTTAGTAAGGTAAAAAACTATGACCCTGACTCAAATGCGCAAATGGAAAAAAACTTATATGACTACTGGTGTAAAAATGCATGTAATATAAGATTGGAAAATTGTAACTGTAACTTAATTGATCACTCATGCGTTTTGATGATTTATGCATAATTTTGTGCCAGTCCCATACTTGGGTATTCTGTTGTTGGCTTAAATGGGTCATTAGGAGGGAGAGGAATAAGGATATAGCTAAAAGCGTCGGCGGAGAAAAAGCAGAAGGAGCAGCGAGCGCGAGCACGAGAGAGAGGGACGAGCGGAGAGAGGGAGAGAGAGAGGACGCGAGAGACGCGAGCGAGAGAGAGGGGAGCGAGAGGAGATGCGAAACGAAGGAGAGAGAAGAGAAACGAGGGAAACAAAAGAACGAGAGCGAGCGAGAGAGAGAGGGGGAGAGGAGCAGAGCAGGAGCGGAGCGAGGGAGAGAGAGCGAGAGAGAGGGAGAGAGAGAGAGAGAGAGCAAAAGAGGGAGGAGAGCGAAGGAGGGAAAAACGAGAGGGGGAGAGGAGAGGTCTCCCACCCCCCCACACCCCCCCCTTCCCCCCCCCCTCACCCTCCCACCCCCCCCCACTCTCCAGGTCTGAGGTTCCCAGTTCCCATCGTCAAT